TGATGGCATTAGTATATTACCAATTTGCCATTAAAAACATGTGAAAGTAAGGGTTTTTTAGGTTGTTCATTTTTTTAATTAAAGATATAAATAAAATATGATGTATATTAGTGTATTACTAATTTGCCATTAAATTTATGTCAAAGTAAGGGTTTTTTAGGCATTATAAATTTTTACAAAAATACTCCTCCTTTTAAAGTAGTATAGATATAGATATAGATAACTGAATTTTGTCCATCGCAAATGGAGCTGGAAGAGTCATTGTTGACAATTCTCCTGGCATAGTGCTAACTGCTAATAATGGACTAGATCAAAATAGCTCAATTAAATTCTAGTGCTTCTTCTATTAGTGAAGTTTCTAGAAAAATATATATATATATATTAAACGACACAATGCACCTTGGGTCGCTACGAAAACAACGTCCTTGTATAATTACAAGGATAAGATCTGCGTACAACTGACCCCTCAGACCCTAACCAGTTGGGAATATATTGAGTATGTTGTTGATTGAATTTAGTAAGAAATTTCACAATTTCAGTATTGTGTTAAGAAACTCCTTGGTAGTTGGAGAAAGAGAGTAATGCTATTTAGTATTTAGCCCAGTTGGTTGACAACTTGGGTTACAACACAAGTGTAAATGCATTATCAAAAAATTAAAAAATAATACATTTACACTTATGTTGTAACTTAAGTTGTCATCCAAGTAGGCTTTATAGCATTGCTCCATATCATCGATAACAAATCACCGATAACAAATCACCTAATACTGAATTGATGAACAGTTCTATTTTGGGCATCTGTTGTCTAGAATTCCAGTAACACTTGCAGAAATAGCAATATAGCTCATGGGTTGGTCATGAAATTTATACCATTTCTTATTTGGAGTTCTGAGATACAAGATTACAATAGGACAAGTGAGATTAAACTAGAAATGGGGGTGAAAACGAAATTTTAGCTTAAAACACGATGAGCTTATCACGAGATGCACAGAATACTCAAGTGTAATCATACTGAAAAAAGAGTAACATCCGAGGTTAAAACTTTCACTGTAAACTAAAACATACACACATTGGGTTACTGATAATGAGATATAGAACTAGGTTTAGAGCTAAAAGCCTAAAACAACATACATCATGTTATTGAAAATAAGATATGGAATTCACTTACAGCAAAAAAATTTTGACTGGATTATCTCAGAAAATGATTAAGTGTTCGTTATTGGGGCTTATTATTTTTCCTCTCCAACTTGATCGCCTCATATGACACCATAACTTCCTTGAATTTTGCTTCAGCATATTCTGATGGGAAAATAATAGGAAAAGAAGGTCAAGAAATTAGTTGGCGCATGGCAGACAAATAGATGACGAGAGAAATTTAACTATCTTGCTTGAATTTAACACCTTTATTATCTTGATTCTGATCGGGGTGAAATTCCTTGGCCTTTGCTCTGAAGGCCGACTGTAGAGTCAATAAGAAATTTGACATGAAAAATGACATGTAAACAGAATATTGGGTACTAGTTGCAGGGAAGACAATCATGAAACAGAAAACAGATAAGAAAACCAGAACAAAAAAAAAAAAGGCAAAATTAATTAAGGAGAAGGAAAAAAGGGAAGGATGGACGAACAAATAATACAAGCTAAAATGAAAAAATATCATGCGTATTGGGCACATCAGCAATTACCTTTATTTCATCATCTGAGTATGGTTTTGTTCTATGCCTGAGAAAATAAAAATAAAATAAAATAAAAAAATAGAACAGTAGAATTAGATGTGCTCCTTATGGGAAAACCTTGTTTGTTGAGAAGGGCAATCGCATAACATTTACCTGGATCATGATTCATGAGAATAAAATAGAAGGATTTACTTTTTTATTTTTGTCCTGAATTATGACTCATGTTACATTTGTTTTTTTGTCCCATATCTGGAACATACCTGTCGAGCCCGAGGACAGAGTAGTGATGTGATAATGGAGTCCTTGCAGTGGACGACCAATTAGTTTCCCTACAATTACCATCTTGATCTCTGAAAGATGCATCCTCCTTCCAGTACCAATCATTCCTCTGGAAATGCTGATGATATGAGCCCGGGTCAGGGTGTTGCCAATTGTCCTGACGCCTTTTGAATTTATTTCTCTCCCGATCAAAAACTTTTTGCATGCGTCGAATTCTCTCCTAGGGAAAAGTGGAAGTATAGATGAATAATGGCAGAAAAAAGCGAGCAACTTTTATTAGTCCTACAACAAATATACTATTATAATTTATTTATATGTCCTGCACAACTTATTTTCAGCAAAACATTTGCAGGTAAGAAAAACAAATAATACTCCCTCCGCCAACCGAAAAAAAAAAAAATACTATCTTGATATACCGCAAAGATAGGATAGTTTGTTTATATAGAAATGTTAAAATATAAAACTCCTATGGCACCCTTGTTGAATTTTCAAGGTTGTCAACATAAATAGGATCACAGAAGAGTGAATTCTGAACGGCATTTTTTTAGACCCGTGTGTGAAAAGGAAGAAGCCAATCTTTGTAGGATAGATGGAGTGACAAATAGAGGAAACTCCATCTTATGAAAAAGCACAATAAGAAACATGATGGTTTGATTACTTACAAGTCCTGCTTCGTTTGAACTTATTTCCGTTTCGAATAAAAGAATCATATTTAGTCAATGGGTTTGCAATTTCTTTTATGTATAAAATTGCAACTTGTCTAGTAATTGGCATTGAAGATAATATAGTGTGTCATCTTCGCATTGAAGATTATATTATCGATTTCTTGCACAATATAAACATGGTTCTTAACCGAGATAGAAATGGACAAAACTATCGGCATGGTTATAGTATAATTTGAGTTAGTTTATCTTAATTAATAAATTATACTACTATACTTTGTGTGCATCAAACTGGATCATGGAAAAGTTTATTTTATACCGACTCAGTTAATAAAGTAGAGCTAATGATATAATTCGTATTCCAAACCCAGAGGATAAAACCGGTGATTGGGGAATATTATTGATTACTTAGTGTGTTGTTGATTATATTTGGTCAAACTAGGGTGGTGACATCCCCCCAAAATAAGCTCAAAAATATTATTGCTAAACCTTGCATGTTGGTTTTATCCGGCATAATAGTAATAAGGTTGATTGGTATTAGTTACGAAAAAAACAAAGTTGTTTTAATTATATTGTCAATAATTAAATTAATTAACGGGGACTTGGAAAAATAAATCGAGTACCAAGAAATTTGGGTTTGCAAAAGGTAGTGCACTAATAATTCTTAGTGGACTAATTTATTATTGATGGCCTAAGAAGTAGGGTGGTTCATAACCCACGTATTCTTTTTTTATCAGAAGACCTAACTCTGACCACAGGTCCATGTTGTAGTCTATAAATACTCAATGTAGGGGTCTTATTCTCTTGCTAGAAAGCTAAAAAATGAAGACATCTGCCACACGATTCGGGAGATCGTCGCCCACACGACGCCCAACCAAGGAGAAGGATATATAGTAGAAGATTCGAACAAGGGCTAATCCCTTCGCGCGGTCCCATAAACTGTAAGATTCATCTCAAAGTCTGGCAATCCACAAACCGTAAGATTTTCATCCTATACTTCAGAATCCATTGCGCTTAGATTAGGAATAATTTCTTATACATTCAATTAATAAACAATTAATCGACGTCGAACTCAACAATAAATGTCTTAAATAGTACAAAATGTTAATCTATTGTATTTGTAATTCAATATAAAGTTACCGAGAAAAGGCACAACTCAGCAAAAGCGCAAATATCATTCTACTAGTACAACGCCCGTGTATTACACGGGTGCTTGCTAAATTTTTTTTCTTAAAATTTAAAATTAATGAGAAAAAGTAGTTAAAAATTTAAAATACTTTTTATAAAAAATACTACCTCCTATTTTAAATAGATGTCGTTTTGGGATGTTGCACATCTATTAAGAATATTTTTTTTGTCAATAATAACCTTATTTAATGAAGATAGAGATGAATGTTTTGAGAAAAAAATGAAGAGTGATTATGAAAAGACGTGATGTATTTATTAGCTAAATGAGGGTAATAATGGAAAAATATGTACAAAAGATCCAAAACGACATTTATTTAGCAAATAGTTGATAAAGCTAGAATGACATTTAAAAAAAATAGGAGGGAGTATATATTATATATATTTTAGTATAACACTTGTTAGTGCGACTTACTTGTGTTATGTTATAATAATTTTTCTAACTTATAACATAAACATTAAACATAAATATATTAATTGATAAATAATTTTATTTTTCTAATTAATTTTAATAAATATTTTTTTATTATTATGAATATAAATTAATTATTTTATTTTATATATACAATATGGATGTCAAATCGAAACTCATCAAAAGATGATTAACTTGATATATTATATATGTGAAACCGATAAGAAATACAAAAGTTATCAACTTTTAAAATACATTTACAATTCCATAGTTATAATAGGAAATAATATTAAAATACAATTAATACATGATCATAAATAAATCAATAAATAAATCAACATATTAATGGTAATCCGAACCTAATTAATTTTGGGTTGGAATTATATTAAAATTTATCTAACCCAAATAATAAAACATAGAATTTTGACACATTGGATCCCGAAGCATGCGAGCCTGCCACTTAGGCTCAACACATTCGGGAATTATATATAGGGGGATTGCGACCAACAATGTTTTAAACCCAAGAATTTCATCAGTTGTAAGAACTTTGAAATTATCATTCTTTTACTAAACATCTTTGGACACTAAGTTTCATAATATTTTTTTCCTTAAAAGTAATAGAATCCATCTGAATGCATATCCTAAAGGGGCAACATCATGAAGCATGCTTCCATCACACACCAAACAACACATTTATATTATGAAATAATAGACAGGAAAGAACTTGCAGTAAGGGCACCATAAATACCATGCAAAAGTTTTCAACTGGTGGAAAGCAAAACTATGCAGATATAATCCCAAGAAAAAGTGGATATACGCCACCGGAGACGTCAATTAGAAAAGAATAAAAGGAAATTTTAAAGAAATCTCACCACTCGTTCCATTTCTGCTTCATGTTCTTCACGCATACGGCGGTGATATCTTCTCCAAGCTTCCTCTTGAAAACTAGTTCGGAAAGAACTCCTACTCTTCCACGTTGATTGAGTCCTGCTCAACTTTTGCATCCATCAGTTCAGTACAACTTTCCACTCTGTAAAATATTTCTTTCTTTCGTTTACTAAAAAAAAGGTAAAGAGCTGAATTTCATCAGGCATAACTTTGCTTTCACCAGAAAAGTGCTACCCACAATCATAAAAAAAAAAATAAAAAGAAAAAGTTAAAATAAAGAGGAATATTACCTGCAAAGAGATCCAATCAACCGTACTTCGCAATTGGGTAACCTGGCACATTGAGAAATCAAGGATCAACACCATGGCATCTGAATGTAAATGGCAGGATTTTTAGCTTTATGAGAACAAGCTTACTGAAAAGAAGAAAAGGATAATGGAAATATAGTAGACTCCCTCCATCCCACTCTCTCACACACACACACTTTTCAAAGAGGTAGTAATGGCGGTAGAGAAGGAAACAAATACGTAATATCCCAAGTGGACAAAATGTGTTGCTCTCCCAGACAATAAGACACGTAATGGTTTATGCTATACACCGAACTTAGATACATCACAAGCAGTATTTTCAGGACTTAGTAAGTAATGCAAATTCTTCTTCTTTTGGCTATCAATTTAGCATAAGTACGATTTTACAAGAGGAAGTTTGAACTTGCTCTCCCAATAAAATGACTGCATAAATCTTCCAACACTCTTCTCCATCTTCTTCTTCTTTGGCCACCAATTTAGCACCAGAACAATTTTCCAGGAGAAATGTTGAACTTGCATAAATCTTCCAACACTCTTCTTCATCTTCTTCTTCTTTGGGCATCAATTTAGCACCAGAGATTTTCCGGGAAAGAGCGAACAAGCTCTCCATACAAAATGGCTCTCTAAACCTCCCCACACACGGGAACTCCCTAGACTTCTCATAATTCTTACCTCAAATTCTACCAAAGTCCCAAAATGTGCAATGAAAATGGAATAGTAAATCTAAGAAACTCCACGCTTCAAGCTAACACCAGCCAAAAAATAAGCTTGTCACGATATACACCACACCATATTTCATAGCTTAATTCTCAATATGAAACAAAAAAACTCAATTAAATAACAAAGCCATTGTCAATTCAGAAGTTGGACCAATAAATAATAAAAAAAACATAATTAGAAGGAAATAAGAAGAGAAATTCGATATAAGGCATGATGAAGCTTACGGCGAATGTTGTCACAGTGGCACCGATTAACCCAAAAATAAGAATTCCCCATAGTCGCATCTCCTCTTCCTTCTCACGATAGCCTCTGTTTTGATGCGGCCAGAGATTATCATCACTCCTCCCCTCACCGGACTCGTCCTTGTTCATTTTCTCAGGTTACAATTCAGCTCACGAGTTTCGATCCGGCTGGTGAAACTAATTCCGGCAATTGGACCGACGATACAGCGACCGTGCTCCGCCGCAGCCAAATCGAGATGCCAATGACCTCTTTACCCTCTCTGTACCCACTGTTGAGATATACGCAGCAAATTTTTGATTTGCTCGAGTTGATTAATGGATTAGAAGAAAGCTGCCAGTGTGTAGATTTCATTTGAATGCAAGTTTGATGCGACTGACAAGCTTTTAGCAGCAGCGTCGAATCTCATCTGTGAGCGTTCATCAAATAAGTCGTGGTGGTCGGTGAAAGAAAAAATCATTACATTTGTTTGATGGTGTGTTTGTAAAAAGATAAACTCAATCAAATTAATTTAAAATGTGAGTTTGTTTTAGTTAACTAAGATTAATTTAGAAAAAAAAAGTAGTATAGTTAGTGGTAAGTAAGATTTTGACAGTATATTAAACTAATATTTAAAATAAAATAATGAAAATTGATTTGATGTAATAGTATGAGAGAGATGACATAATGTGATGATTGGTTAAAATTATGTGCGTAGATGAATAGTGAATTAAAAGTTGATATGATGTGTTAAAATGGTTGATTGTTATTATTTAATGATTGCTTGTCATTGTTTAATTACTAGCACGTATCCCGTGCGACGCACGGGACAGAGATATTAAATGAGTTATTTCACAGTCTTTTCAGTTTAAGTCTAAAAAGTAATAGGGTTATTATCTATTTTCTACCTTTTTTAATCAACATTAAGCCAAAAAACAATAGAGTCATAAGCTTTTTTCCAAATCTTTTAGTCAACGCTGTTTTTTTAGCTAGAACATTAAATATGAGCATATTATGGCTAGCTTGTAAAATAATTAATATATTATCTCAATAAAACATTTATACTAATAAAAATTTAATTTTAGCATATAAATTTATCCCTTGATA